TGATTTCCCATCTCACAAAACTAAGACATCAGAAATGTCCCTGCTGGGCACTGGGATAAAAACCAAACCTTTGCTGTGTTCCTGAGAGGAGGGGAGAAGAGAGACAGACTGATCCACGCTAAAATACTTGATAGCCCAAGGGTAGAAGTAGTCTGGGTTGGGAGACAGAGGTTCAGGTCCTTGCTCTGCAATTCTCCTGAGCACCACATGAGTGCCCTTACCACCATGCCATTGGCTATTCCAGGATAGGTCTGAACCAAGAAGAACAAGGACTTCTTTTTATGATCTTTGCATCCCTGGCTGGTGCCTGACTTCACCACTGCTCTGGTCTCTCACCCTTTCCTGTTCTGGACATAAGAAACCTTTCCCAAGAAAAACTGTTTCATTAGAACTGGCACCTTGAGGCAACACATCTTTGTTTGAGAAATATCTGCAATTTCTGACAAAAGCCATTTAACTGAAAAATTCCTACCTTGCCCTTGTTCTAACCTCTTTCTAGCTATCTCACATTCACTGCAGCATCTGAGCACCTTCAAAGAAAATGAGTAGGTGGTTTCTTGATGCCTGGTTCTTTATCCCTTCCCATCTCAGGGCAGCAGGGAGTCATTTTAAAAGCACTGTTATTTTGCTGTTGCGGGAAAGCTGTGGCACAGAGGTGGCTTTGCATTCACCCAGGAAAACTAGAAGAGTTCCTAGGCATCTCAGTCCCTCAAGGAAAGAAGCTCCAACACCAGCACACAGCCACTGCAGAAGCTGCATCTCCCAGTAGAGATGGCCACAAGATCTCTTGTGAAAATTTTTTACAGAAAAAAAGGTGGGAGGGGGAAAGGATTTTCAACTACATAAAAGGAAAAAAAAATCCCTTCAGAACTTAATTGCTTTTTCAATCTGAAAACTGAACCCCGATAAATGGAGCTGTTGTGTTTTTAGGCAATTTTCAATCACAGGTTCTATGTCTTTGAATTTGTTAACAAAATGCTGGAATTTTCTACTGAAATGTTTGCTTCCTTCAAACCGTTTAGTTCTCACAGGCATTTGTCTCCAGCCTCCTCAGCTCTTACTCTTGATGTACACACTACACACAACTTATTTCCCAATCCCCCTGTCCCCTCTCCCCACCAATATTGTGCTTCCTCCGCTCCCTTGCACACCCCTCCAGCTCAGTGCCTGCAACATTACCCACACTCCTTGTAGTAAGTTGCCCAGGCAGCATTGTCCAAACTGGGCCTTGAAGGTAAAATGTTGAAATATTGTACAGTCAAATGAGCCTGGGACAGCATTGGCCTCTGCAGGAGCTTTGTATTTATTTTTAATCTCTCACTGCCTTTGTTTGAAATGGATATGTAAGGGGAAAATAGAGATAAATTAGCCCCATTCTTCTAGGGAGAATAAAGTGACCCTGAACAAAGACAAGCTGAGGAGGCGAGGTATTGTTCCAGTGGCACAATGCCTGCCCCAATCAAAACAGAAATGAGATGAACAAATGCTAATTTCTCCTTTCCACAACGAGAAGCAGGAGCAGAAATGCTAATGGTGTCCACAGAGGGCCAGAGATAAAAAGTCTGTGTGTTTGTGTGTGTGCATTTGGATGGGTTTGAGCTCAGAGATAAGCTGGCAAACAAGGTAATTAAAATAATTAAAATGCTAAACAAAGGGGGGCATGGAGCTGAATGAGACAAAGGGTGGGAGGGGTGATGCAGCAGTGGTGGTGGGGATAATACATTAGCTCTGTTTCTAAGAAGTGTCAAACCTTTTATCTTCACCACCGAAAAAGTGGAAGAGTGACAGACAGATAGGGGGACCTTGGGAAGGACAGCCAGATGGGTTAAGTCACTATGAATGAGCTCAGCAGGATGAGAGGCACGTTTAAAATGGTTTTATATTACAGCCTCTTACCTTGGGGGGACCCAGGGATTGCTGTTAAGACTCTACTCTTTTCCTTCTGGAGCTGCAAGTCCAGAGGACGGAGAGGAAAGATTCAGGGCTTGTCAACATTGAAGCACTCAGGAAAGTTAAACCAAATTAACTACGGAATGACTCTGAAGTGGATTTGTTAACTTGTATGAAATTACTGTGTGGGCCCTTTGATTCATGAATGAAGTGGCCTTAATTCGGTTTACCATAGTTCCCACTGAAATGAAGTGAAGTTAAATCATAGAATCAGAATTGGAAGGGCCCTCAAGAGACACTGATTCAGTAAAAATGGACTGAATTAAAGCAGGTTTAGCTGATTGTGTTGAGATCAGGATTTAATGCTACTCAACAAATCCTGAAAAATATTTTACTCTATTATTACTCCACACATGGTAAGTCACTAAGCATGCCCACATGGGGAGTTAATGTGAAGTAAGTAATGTGCTGTAAAATCACCCCCTTGCTTACTGTTCCAAGTCCCCTGTACACAAGTTCCTTAGAGGAACTTACCAACTACTGACAAACTTACTTTCCGGACAAAGCCAAAATCACTTGTAGCTCCCTACTAAAAACACAACAAGAAGTTTTGCTTTCAACTACCTTGGGAGCAGACAGAAGTGCAGCTCCCTGGACTAACTCATGGCATTTCACAGAAAGCACCATGAGTTAAACCAATCCTCCTGACCCAACAGATGCTAGTTCTAATTTGGAGCAGATCCAGGGAGAGAGGCTGAGTCTCTGCAGCCCCACGCTCTAGCCCCGCCTCCCCTCTCCCAGCCCCCAGTGCTGTCTCAGGATGGGAGGTGGAGAAGGCAAGGGAGGAGGTCCCTTCAGGGGTTTTCCCAGCCTGCACTGGAATAGGCAACCACTCCACCCACCAGCACTGTCTGGGCAACCCCCAGAATGATCTTCCTCTGCTCCCTTCCCTCCCCTCCCATTCTGAAAACACAAGTTAATGAAGGTGCTCCATTTGGGAGTGCCTTCATCTGAACCCTCATCTAATAAGGGTTCAGATGGTTGTGGGACTGGGCCCTTTTAAAGCACTCTGCAGCTGTGCACTTGTGCTTGATCATGGCTGTAGAGCACTTTCAGGGGCCAGACCAGGAGAAAATTGTCACTTCTGTCTGCACCCCTTGTGACAACTAACTCTAGTCTGAGACACCCTTCTTCCTGTCCTCTGGAATTTAGGCTCCCACCTGTACCAAATAAAAGCCTCCTGGAGCACTTAGGTAGGTGGGGAACATCACGGCATCTGTCACAGTTGGAGGCCAAGGCCTCCTATGCCCATGATATTCTGGTCTGTATTAGAGCAGAGCAATGTGCTCCTATCAAAATGGGGTTTCATATGTGGGGATGGGAGGATCAACATTTTTGATGAAAAATGAGAACCAGAACGTTCCTCTGTTCAAATTTTCCACAAACCTCTTTGCTATCCTATAAATGTTTACTGGAAACCAAACAAACATTTTCATCCTAAATGGTTCATTTTTTTAGCTTCTAAAAAAAGTTCATGGGAAATGTTGATGATAATGAAGAGTTTTGCAAATTTTCCTCAGAAAATTATTAAAACTGTTTGTTCTGCTGTGCCCTATCCTGCCCATTGCTCTGCCCCCATCTGCTCATGCTTGAGTCTACCCTGCCCTGCCTGGCGGTTTCTGTTCTCCAGAGGAGGCAGAAGAGTGGCACCCGTGTGAATCTAGAAGGTCCCATATAAAGTACTCCTCTCCCAGTCCATGGGAAAGAATGGGGCTAACTAGACTGGACGTGCTTGTGGACACAAACACGCTCTAGGCACTAGAGCTGCCCCAGGAATCTGGGAGCTGGTCACACTGCAGCTCTCCTGGGGAGACGCCAATAGCTCCTAAACTGAGTAAGGCCTCCCCGTTTAGAGCAGGTTTATCTCTAAGCATGTCATCCTGGATGGCAGCTCCTTTCATAAATCAAGATCTCCCTCCTGTCCTTCTCTTCTGGCTTCTGTCCCATCCAAAGGAGTTACAAAGGGATTCCTCTGCCTGAAGAAGGGTGTTTGTACCTGAAAGCTTGCAAAGAAGAATTTTTCCAACTATTTTAGTTGGTCTAATAAAAGATGTTGGATTTACCCAAAGAACCTTGTCCGCCTATGTCCTTAGACCAACACGGCTACAACCAACAACCCTCCTTTCCCATCACTCTTCACTGCCCCTGCACTCCCCTTATAAAAACACCCACAACTAACTTTCCACTCTCCCATTCTTTGCCCACATTGTTCCATGCCTTGCTCTTGCCCCTCTTCGCCTCGCACACACTGCTGAGAGGTGCAACAGTTAGGAAGGGAAAGCTGATATCTGCAAACAGAGATGGAACGGATGGATTCCCCTCCTAAGCTGGGAAATGAAAAAGAGAAACCTTTCTCTTCTCAGCAGCTTTTTCAAGTCCTCCACCATCCATTTCTGTTGGAAAGGAGTAAATAGGGTGCTTAGTGTTTTCAGATAAACTGTCTGAGCCTCTTTTCTGCTCTTCTAGAGCTCAGATGATAACAGAGTACCGTTCACCCTGAGCTGGTGAGCAAGATCTTTGATTATACAGATCACACTAGGAATCTCTATGCTCTGAGCTTTACCATTCATTTTGTCTTTAATGCCAGCCAGCTGCATTCTTTACTAAGTGAACCAGCAAATTAATTGGGAGCTCCCCAACATTATTTAGACTGTGAACTCTTTGGGACAGAAGCTCTTTTTATTCTGCCATTGTGCAGTGCTTAGCACAGTGTGGTCCTACTGCAGGACTCGGGGGCCTGGGTGGACTGGAGGAAAATATCCAGTGGGTAAAACTCTTTTTGGATGAGAAATGCTGATTAGGCCACAGTGAAGGATGAAAATCTGTACTGATTTTGCCAAACTCTTCTTCATGGTGGGGGAAAAAATACCTACTCTCAAAAATAAGAAGCAACACTTTCAAAGTGAAGCATTTGGGTTTTTCCAAATTTTAAATTGTCCTTAAATTTTAATTTGGAAAAAGTTAAGGACTCTTCAAAAGCAAGGTGACACTGTGTTTCTTGTCAAATGAAACATTTTATTGGACTCTGACAATTTTTTCTTCCTCTTTCAGAACTGCCAGCAAACCGGAAAAAAAAAGAATCAGCTCTTTGCAAAGCTCGACTCCTGCTCTTTATGGTAATTCAGCTGTATAATACCCACACCATTAACTGCTTCACTGCTTCTCTGCACTACAGAACTCATGCTGCCATGTTCTGCTCATGATCCAGTGCCGTCACAAAAGACTGTCATGACATATCTGGTAGAGGCACACAAGAAGAATTTTGTCCATTGTGTATGGCTGAATGTGCCTGCTACAAAGTTTACAACACTGCTAGCCAGGACCCTATGGATCATGCCTATTGTCATGCTTGTATGGAAGCCATTTATTTTAAAACATGGTGAAATAAAAGAAAACAGCTACCATCGCAAACAGGTTTCCATACAGTTTCAGAACCAGCTTTGTCACCCTTGTTTATCTGGGGCTGCACCCTGTGTAGAGCCCTATATAGTTCAGAGTCATCTAGTGGCCAGAAAATACATTGCCAATAAACATATGACAGGTCTACCTATACATGTACATGAACTTTTAGATGCACAATAAATGCACACAGATGTTGCCGCTTGTATTTGTGTCTTTGCTGATTAAAGAGTGGAAATTGCTTGTTGCTTGACTTGGCCAGCAATAAAACTCAGCAGTTCTGTTCTCTCCCTGCTGTTCCAGGGACAGAGAATAATCACAGTGCAAAGCCTGAAAGTGCCAAGTGCAGAAGCCTGGAGAGGACACCCCACTAGCAGTTCCGCTGAATCGCACAATGCCTGTGGAAGAGGCTTTTCCAATTAGTTATGTGACAGTGGGCTTTCAGCCTATGCGCATTCAACTGCTACTTTCTCTGGCCCGTGAGAACATGGAAAAAGGACAAACACACCTTTATGAACTTGGGATGAGAAGCTAGCTCCATGCTCAACATCATAGTTAACCCTCAGTTAACCCAAACATTCCCCAGACTGCCACCAAACGGATGTTCAGGAGCATGGGGGAACATTTATCTGCCCTGTAGCCATCACACTGTAGTCTTAATTAATTTTCTTTATTGTGATTTCCAAATGGCCCATCCCTCTGTAGTACCCTCTTAGCTCCCTGCGCCTTCTACTAGCATATCCTTTGTGAAACCCTCACAGCACAGATCATGCAACAGAACTGATCAGAAAAGTGAAGCACATGCATTTGCAAGTAATGATGCAGCCATCTTCTATTCTGCAGCTTCGGAAAAAGAACATTAAAAAAATTAAAAGCCTTAGTTTTGCAAATGGGGATTTTCAAAATATTTTGTTTGGCATTTCAGGGATTTTTGATTTCCACTCTATTTATCTTCTTTTTTATTTAATCTTTTCACTTGGTCATGAGGGAAGAACAAAAGAGGAAGAAGAGGGAGGGAAAGAGTGGCAGGGGGAGTAGTCAGAGGGGATGAAAAAGAATAAATCAAACTCATTCCTGGAACATTCAGGTTCAAACCTGGAAACTTTTAAGTTCTATGGGAAAAAAGAAAAATAACAAAATAAAAAGCAGACTTTTCCCATTTCTAAACAAGATTTCTGAGTGGTAAAGAAACTTCGAAATGAAAATTTTTGTCTGACTACATTGTGTGGTTCCCCAAGTGCTCTCTGTGTTGTAGATATGTTTGCAAGGGAGGCCAGAGTGTGGTAGGGGCTAGAGGAAGAGACACCTTACTGCAAGCAGATGCTGGAGTCACTGGGCCAGTCTACATGAGATGGTACGTTATTGTAGCAATGCACGACAGCAACCTAGCATGAATGGGCAAAAATCACGACATGACCTCCCAAAGGAAGTACTAAATGACAGTCCAGTAACAATGGCACCATCGGGGCATGTGTACACGTGACCATCGTGATGTAGAACACAGACTGGTCCTGTTCCACTAGACTATAAACAGACATTGTACTTGTCCCAGGATAAACCAGTCAGCAATCATTCAGATGTCCATGTTCATTGTCCCAGGATGAATAGTTTATTCCAGCACATCACATAGTGCATCTGAACAGCTATCCTGGGATTGCATCATTGAATCAATGGCACAAAATTAGCAGTACATTCAGCTGCGCACTAAACCCCGATTAGAAGGATGATTTGTGTACAAGACAATCCCAGGATATTTCTGTTCTGGGACAGAAAGAGGTACAACAATCATCTTTACATGTGCTCTGGGGGTAAGGGGGGGAGGGGCACGTAAACTCTCAGGAGCTGCTCTGATTAAAGCACCTGCAGTGTTTCGTATATTCAGTGTCCCACATTTCAAAATGGTGGTGAGGGCGCTTTAACTAAAACTCATTCAAGGAGCTTTAGTTAAAGTGCCTCTGCCATCATTTTGAAGCATGGGGACAGTAAATACGCAAGATGCCAAGGCTGCTGGAGCATGCTATTTAGCACGCTCCAGCAGACTCGATCAAGTCTGCTCCGACACACTATAATTACAATACATCAGAGCAGGCATCCTGCATGTCTACAGGCACCCAACTTGTCCAAAGACAAATGCAACATCTGGTCCTAGCCTAGGAGAGCATACTACAGTCTGTTAAATGCTGCTTTGCACTTCTAAGGGCTGCAGACTCACTTTTTAGCCTGACCTCAGGTAACACGGCAGTTCAGAAGGGGCAGAGGAATCCATGGGCTCACCTTTCTTGTGGTGTCTCTTGGTGCACCCAGCATGATGATGCCCCACTACTTGTGTTCAGGATAGGTGAATCCTAGTACTTCCAGGATCACATGCCCCCCATGCTTGCCTGGGAGTGCACACAGCAGCAGAAGCCACCCTCCCCCTGTCCCCACAGCTCCCCAGACAAGCCACTTGAGGCTCTGTCCTGCACCCCACCCTGGCAGGGCAGCACCTGTTGGCACCCTTTCACTTCAGCACCTGGGGCAGTCACCCCGCTCGCCCCCTTCTTGCTATGGCACTGTCTTCTCCTGCCCTTATGGACTGGGACAGAAGCAGCCAGAATTTGACTTACATGCCCCCAGCCTCAAAAAGGTAAAAACAAAATTATGTCGTGCAGATTATGAAGCACAGCGGGACTGTAGGGCCTATATGGGCCTCACACCTCTTCAACAAACCATCACAGAGCTGTCTGGTGCGATCAGCCAGTGTGAATACCCTCTCTCCTGCTGTCTGCCATCCATCAGGCTCTGCTCTCACATTGGACTGATTCCTCAGTGCCCTAGACTGCTGCCAGTGGAGTCCTCCTGAAATAGCAGGTTGCACTAGCTGGATCTGCTGCAGAACCAGATGGGGACAGGCCAGAAATTCAGGTGCAAATTGGGTGGCTTTCCCCAGGTGCTATTTCAGGCCCCTGAATTCAGGTGCTCAGAGGCATAACAAAGAAGCAGGGTCCCCAAGGCCATGGGATGCAAGGAGACAGGAGTGACTTCCAAATGCTGCCATATGGCTGGTGTGATTACATGGCTATGGCAGCACTTGACATTTTTCTGTGCCCCTCCCCACTCCAAATCAGCACCCTGGGTGGCTACCCCAGTCACCCCAGCCTAGCTACACTCCTGCACGTGCTGCAAATGCTTGAAAGTCTACATCCAACCTCAGTGCTTCGGTGTCTCTAGATTGGACCTGTTCAGGTGAAAGGAAACCAAGCTGAAGAATAGACCTCTGCACAAGTATGGCCACCTCTCAACACCAGAGACTTGCTTCTTCCTCCTGTTTTCCCCTCCTTAAACAGACCCCCCTCCCACTCTTCAGATCAGCCCTTGGCACCAGGGGACAAGATCAGACACACTGCCTACTTCATTCATTGCTCTCTATGCCTTTTTGCCCCAGCAAGCCACCCAAGCCTATGTTCCTAATGGGCAGTGGGCATCACTGTCTGCAGCAGGGCTCCTTTGGGCCCTGGCTAAGCCCAGACTTATGGAACCATAGAAAATGATGGTTGGAAGAGACATCAGGAGGTCGCCTAGTCCAACCCCCTGCTCAAAGCAGGACCGTCTCCAACTAGATCATTCTAGCTAAGGCTTTATCAAGCTGGACCTTAAAAACCTCCAATGATGGAGATTCCACAACCTCTCTTGGTAACCTGTTCCAATGCTTCACCACCCTCCTAGTGAGAAAGTTTTTCCTAATATCCAACCTAAACTTCCCTTGCTGCAACCTGAGACCATTGCTTCTTGTTCTGACATTTGCCACCACTGACAACAGTTCAGCTCCGTCCTTTCTGGAACCGCCCTTTAGGTAGTTGAATGTTGCTATCAAATCCCCACTCAGTCTTCTCATCTGCAGACTAAATTAGTCCAGTTCCCTCATCCTCTCCTCAGAAGTCACATGCCCCAGGCCCCTAATAATTTGTGTTGCTCTCTGCTGGATTCTCGCCAACTTGTCCACATCCTTTCTGTAGTGGGGGCCCAAAACTGGACACAGTACTCCAGATGTGGCCTCACCAGTACAGAAGAGAGAGAAAAATTCACTTCTCTTGACCTGCTGGCAATGCACATACTAATGCAGCCCAAGGGGAGGCACATGAAGAAGGAGCCAGGATACATATGAGTGTGTGCAGCGACTGGTTACAAGAGGAGATGAACATGTACGAAGGAGAAAAATGGGAGTGAACCTTGTTGTAGGCATGGAGGAGCGGTGAAGAAGGAAGTTACAACAGACACTTGCCTGCTTCTAAGAAATGGGGCTGAGAGGATTTGAGATGAAGGAACAGATGGAAGAAGAGACAAACTTTGTTTTCACTCTTGTGGAGGCTTTAACAGGGCCAGAATCTAAGATGGACCATTAGGGAGCGACACCAGGAAGTATCTGACCCTTATGTTTACCTAGTTTTGATCCCCTTTGCCTCCACAGTGTAAGGGATGAGTGTTTTCACTCCACGTACAGAAAACATAAGGAGAGGAGAAGGAGCCAATTTGTCAGGCTGAGGCATCATAGCCAGTGGCAGTGTGCTGGATCTACTCTTTCAGTTTTTTCTCACAGAGATGGTTTTGAGCTGCAGAGTTTAATCCAGACCTAAAATCCCCACACCTTGGGGTGGCTGGGGTGGACACGTGGTACTGTGATCAGGTGCCTTACTATTAAAAAAAGGAGATATGTGTATCGCAACATAGTTTCCTAGTTGGTAGGGTGGGAAGGGACCTGAGCAGATCATCAAGTCTGACCCCCTGCCACGGCAGGAAAGAGTAATGGGATCAAATGACCCCCACAAGGTGGCTATCTAGCCTCCTTTTAAAGACCCCCAGGGTAGGAGCCTGCACCACTTCTCTTGGAAGTTGGTTCCAGATCCTAGCCGCCCTGACCGTGAAGTAGTGCCTCCTGATGTCTAGTCTAAACCTACTCTCTAGCAACTTATGGCTGTTATTCCTTGTTACTCCCAGTCATGCTTGGGGGAACAGGGACTCTCCCATTGCCTGCTGGTATCCTTTGGCCAGTTTATAGATGACCACCAGACCCCCTCTCAGCCTTGTCTTGTGGAGGCTGAACAGGTTCAGGTCCCGTACCCTCTCTCTCTGGTGTTGAGAGGTGGCCATACTTGTGCAGAGGTCTATTTTTCAGCTTGGTTTCCTTTCACCTGAACAGGTCCAATCTAGAGACACTGAAGCACTGAGGTTGGATGTAGACTTTCAAGCATTTGCAGCACGTGCAGGAGTGTAGCTAGGCTGGGGTGACTGGGGTAGCCACCCAGGGTGCTGATTTGGAGTGGGGAGGGGCACAGAAAAATGTCAAGTGCTGCCATAGCCATGTAATCACACCAGCCATATGGCAGCATTTGGAAGTCACTCCTGTCTCCTTGCATCCCATGGCCTTGGGGACCATGAAAACAGTGCTTTGTACCCAAGCCAGTGGCATCTGCTTTCTGCTCTTTGTGCTTGGGAAAGCAACAAGCTGGTGGCCTTGGACGGAGCCTGGTGTAGCAAGGGGTGCACACTGTAAATTCCCTGACCCTCTCCTCCTAGGGCCTGCCCTGCTGCCCCCCGATCATACGAGCGGCCCTCCTCTGGACCCTCTCCATGCTGTCCACATCCTTCCTGAAGTGTGGCGCCCAGAACTGGACGCAGTACTCCAGCTGCGGCCTGACCAGTGCCGCATAGAGGGGGAGGATCACCTCCTTGGACCTGCTCGAGATGCATCTGTGGATGCATGACAAGGTGCGGTTGGCCTTCCTGACTGCAACCCCACACTGCCTGCCCATGTTCATCTTGGCATCAATAATGACTCCAAGATCTTTTTCTGCCTCTGCACTGCCAAGAAGGGAGTTCCCCAGCCTGTAGGTATGGTGCCGGTTGTTCCTCCCCAGGTACATCACCGTGCACTTGTCAGTGTTGAATCCCACCCTGTTCTCATCCGCCCACCCCTGTAACCTGTCCAGATCCAATTGCAGCCTATTCCTCCCTTCTAGTGTGCCCACATCCCCCCACATCTTAGTGTCATCTGCAAATTTTAACAAGGTGCTTTTCACTCCCTCATCCAAATTGCTGATGAAGATGTTGAACAGTGCAGACCCGAGGACCAAGCCCTGGGGAACCCCACTGCCCAT